GTATGCAAGTTGGGCTGTGTGTACAGAGGTTACGTTTTGAAACCTTATTTATACCTTTAAACTGGCCCTAAGCCATTAGGGCCACATAGCGCTATTGGCCGCGTAGCAAAGGCTGAGTGACTTGTCTCAGGAATCAACAGTAGGATTCTGGACTGGTTTATGGTTTTAACAAAAGCAGTGATTTCAGGATAGTTCTGAGATGGGTGGATAGAGATGTTTGGCTGGAATCAAAACAGGGAGCAGAGAGAGAGGTCGGCTTAGTGTTTTACGTACCAAGAGATCCTTTGTCTCAGATTTGGAGAATAAATGCAGACTACTTGGAAATGCAAAGGAAACAACACTATAGATTTGATAGTTTTGTTTGTTTGCTTGGGTGTACACATGCCTTGGGGAAACAATCCTTTTTTTTTCCTGGGAACTTAAGCTAGTGTTTCTGAAAGGCGAACTAGCTTAAGTTTCCAGAAAAACATGCTATTTTCAGATATGAGATATCAAAATATGAGGATCCAAAAATACAGTGTGAGGTATGCAGGGGTGCTGAACACCACCATATACAGAATATAGCATCTGAATTGGACCTTTGGTCATGTGGTGGGGTTGGGGGAGATGATCCTGTGTAGCAATGATCTACCATGATGAAGTTCTAACAAACCTCTAAAAAACATTTCAGGTAATGTGTCTAGTGAAAAGAACGGTGTTTCTTTCAACGTGCAGAATGGTGATGTGCGACTTCCTGACTTCTCAGCAAAACAGCTTACTTTTCAAGAGAACAATGACATGGGACAGAAAAAATCTTGCATTTCATTGCGAAGGACTTCAAAGAAGGGGAGCCTGCACTTCATTGAACCTTTGTGACATTTAAAAATAAAATAAAATGTTCTCTTGTTTCACAAAGTGGCATGCAGGTTTATTTTAACTGTTTAATATAATGTGAGAAGACCAAATTGTGAAAAGACCAAAAAAGACATTATTTAATATACAATAGCAAAGCTTTAAGGCAACATCAGTTTGTCAAATAGTTTGTATTACTCTTTCTTTTAATGTCATTGTATTAATTGAAAAGGTACTGTAGACATAGCATCATGACTGGAAAACATGACCAGCATAATTTGAGTTTTTTTAAAATGATGGATTTTAGAAGATCCTTTTACAATTTGAACTTGTGGCTGAAAATTAGGAATAACTCAAAACTTTATGCAGTAATGTTGTATTAATATAGAAAATTACTAGCTAAATATTGAAAGAGATACTTAAATTGCCTTTCAAAATAATGTGATGCCTATGCTTTCCTTTTAATAGGATACAGTAGCAGACGTCATAGTATTGTATATAGTCTAAACAACATCTACCCTCAATTATCTTATAATTTTATATTTATTTCTTGTAAATTAAATTTAATATTTCTTTGTATAGAAAAAATAGTTGTCTGGACTCTTGAAGCTTTATTTTAACTATACATGTGTAAAAAGTTAATTATTCCAGTTAACTCATTGATGTTTACATCAATTTGGGAAGAAGATCAAAATGTAAATATAACTCCTGTCACTAAAGAAGCTGTAACTCCTTGTTGGTTGATCAAGTATATTGCCAACAATGAATAATTGCATAGCATATGAAAAGTTGAGAGGAAAACAGTAAGAATAATAAATCCCTCCTTGGTCTATCCACTCAGCAGAGAGACATGTACATGAGCTGTCCATGAGTGCAATTGGGATCCTGTGGGGAGATGAAGGATAATTTTGACAACCAAGTATCCACTCATTCGCAGATCTGTTTTTCAGTACATCTACATGTTGCAGACTCTTTATCTACATAATGCTTGTGTAACATAGAACAAAGGACTGTCTTGTTCATTTCAATATTTGCACTGTACCTTAGTGGTTTTAAAATTACAAACAACAACGTAGGTAGACATGTACCTGTTAATGTGAGTTGCTTAATAAGTTATCACCCACCTAAATTGCTGCTGTTGTTATTTGTTATAAGCACCTAATATTACCTAGGTGATGTACAAAGATGACATCAAACAAGATTTTGTTTCTTGTTTAAAAAATGTATTTATTTATGGAGATTATCGCACAAGCATAAAAACGCGATTTACCTCTTCTGAATTCAAGTAAAATTCAGGCTGCATCCAGGTCTTCCGACTTTTGAAAAATGGCCGCAAAGTGAGTAAAGTGAGCCAGGCTGCACTCGGGCTGCATTCGGATGGCGGATTTGGCAACAAAAGCTATGCAATAGGACCAGATGCAACCCGAATTTTACTTGAATTCTGGAAAGGTAAGTCGCGTTTTTATGCCTGTGCGACAATCTCCTAATTCAAAGATTTATATCCCAACTTTCTGCCACAATGGGATTCAAGGCAGGTGAATTAAGAATGCGATGGCTATGGGAGCAAGGACTGCCCTGTCCTTCAGGATCATCAGTGTAAAACATCAGGTTTTCTCCTGCACTATCTTTCAATCCTAAAATCATACAGTTGGAAGAGACCTCAAGAGTCATCTATTCCAACCTCCTGCCATGCAAGAATACACCATCAGAGCACTCCCAACAGATAGCCTCTGTTTAAAATCCTCCAAAGAAGAAGACTGCACTACTCTCAAAAGCAGTGTATTCCACTATCAAACATTTCTTAATGCCAGGAAGTCCTTCTTAATGTTTAGGTAAAATATTTTCCTGTAGTTTGAATCCATTGCTCCATGTCTTGTCTCTGGAGCAGCAGAAAACAAGCTTGCTCCATCTTCAATATGACATCCTTTCAAATATCTAAATATGGTTATCATGTCACCTCTTAACCTTCTCTTCTCCAAACTAAAGATACCCAGCTCTCAGCCGCTTCTCATAGGCATGGTTTCCAGATCTTTCACCATTTTGGTCATACTCCTCTGGACACATTCCAGCTTGTCAATATCCTTACAGAAATGGGTGTGCCACAACACCTGATGAGACAGAGTGCAGAGAAATTGAATGGTTTCCAATTGGAGAGGTAGAATTCAAAAATATAGCTGTGTTAGTCTGTAGAATCAGTATGTAGAGAGATCTTGTAGCACCTTTGAGACTAACTGAAAGAAATTGGAAAAGGTGTCAGGCAAGGTTATATTCTGTCACCCTATCTGTTTAATTTGTATGTTGAGAACATCATACAAAAAGCAGGATTGGACTCAGGAGAGAGGCATGAAAATAGGATGAAGGAACATCAACAATTAAGATGTGCAGATGACACCATAACTCTAGCAGAAAACATCAAAAGATATGGAAAGATTATTGAAAAAGGTCAAGGCAGAAAGGGGAAAGGCAAATTTACAGTTGAACATAAAAAACCCCAGCAATAATTATGACCACAGATGATATAATAATTTTAAAGCAGACAACAAAGAAATCAAAATGGCCCAAGATTTCAAGATTTTCCATACTTGGGCTCAATCATCAATCAGACCGGTGACTGCAGTCAACAAATCATAAGACTAGGGAGATTGTCAGACAAGGATGGGAGCGAAGTGTATCACTTTCCCATCTTTATCCCATCCTTGTCGCGATTGCTAGAAAGACTATCATACACGTTGTGCTTATCCAGCCGTTATCCAGCGAAGTGCAATTGTCCTGTCACTAATATTAACGGGTTGTCCTGTTATTAAAAAATGAAGGGAAATGACGGGACAATTCCACCTCACTGACGGGACAATGACGGGATCCGTCTGATGGTATCTTTTGCGCGATCACGGGCAAATGCACTTCACGGATGGATAATGTCAGGATAAGTGCAACATCGTTTGAAAGTCTCGCCGATAGCATGATAAGGACAGGACAAGGACATCCTTTTCCCTGTGTGATAATCTCCTAGGACTTTGCTGGTCAGCTATGAAGGAACTAGACAAGATCCTGAAGTGTAAAGATATATCATTCAATAACAAAGTTAGGGTTGTCCATGCCATTGCATTTCCTATTTCTATGTGCGGTTGTGAAAGCTGGACCGTGAAGAAAGGTGATAGGAAAAAAATCAGTTCATTTGAGATGCTGTGCTGGAGGAGAGTCCTAAGAATACTGTGGACTGCTAAAAAGTCCAATGGATGGATCCAGAGCACATCAGGCCCAAACTCTCCCTAGAAGCAAATATGACTAAGGTTGTCATATTTGGGGTATCTCATGAGAAGAGAGAACCCACTAGAAAAAGCTATAATGCTTGGAGGGCAATAGGAAAAGAGGAAGACCATATTCCAGATGGACAGACTCAATCAGAGAAGCCATGGGCATGAGTTTGCAGGAGCTGAGCAGGGCAGTAAAGGATAGGATGACTTGGAAGTCTTTCATATCTAGGGTCACCATGGGTCCAAGTCAACTCAAAGGCAATTAATAACAATGAAGTGTTTTCCTGGTGTCCTCTTTGGCACAGTGCTTACAAGAGTTAGCTGAAGTGCCACTGCTTTTGTCACTGGAAGATCCTCCGTCAGTATCATCCCCCACCATCACACACACAATAATGCTGCTGCCCAGTGTACATTTAATAGCAAACCCAGCAAAAGCCTGTCTTAAGGTGGTAGACCTCACCAGCAGCACTGCTGCCATCACAGAAGCGTGCAACATACTATGGAAAAGTAATGTCAAGGTGGTGGATGTCGGTGTTATGTACCTTCAAGTCATTTCTGACTTTTGGCAACCCTAAAAATCATGAATCGTTTTTGGCAAGATTTGTTCAGAGGTGGTTTGCCCTTGCCTTCCTCTGAAGCTGAGAGTGTGTGACTAGCCCAAGGTCACCTGGGGGTAGGGTGACCAGATGTCATAACTGCAAAGGAGGACAAGGCATACTGCATTATGTATGACATTCAAGAGAAATGTAGGATATGTAGGATGCATAAAAGCTAAAAACACTCAAATATAAATTAATACTTCTTAGCCATGCTCAAAATGGAGGACATTTTGAAATCCCTCCTGGACAGAAGGGTGAAATGTAGGTCATGTCCTGGATAAGGAGGATGTCTGGTCACCCTGCCTAAGGAGTTCCATGGCTGAGCACGGATTCGAACCCTGTTCTGCAGAGTCATAGCCCAATGCTCAAACCACTACGCCACAGAGAGTGACATAAATAAGGACATCAACCTAAATAATAATAATAATAATAATAATAATAATAATAATTTACAGCCCATCTGTCCCCGAAAGATCGAGGTGGGTAACAATTATAAAAATACAATACAGCTATAAAACAACTTAATAAAATAACCTTATCCCCTTGCCTTCAATTGAAACTAACACTGCATCATAAAATACATTCAATGAATAAAATTAACTAAATTAAACATAATTAAAATGTGGCATCATGGGATGAACAGGGCAGCCTACATCAGTATCATGGAACAATCGATCCATCCATCCATTGCTAGCCCAAAGTAGAGCCACTGAATCATGCAAAATTATTTAAGTATTGATTTACCGAGTTCCCATCCAATGTGCCTACTCCAGATGCCACCAATATTTGGATGTAAGCCATCAAACCCAGAGTGCATCTACACTGTAGAAACAATGGAGTTTGACACCACTTTAAGTGTAGTGGCTCCACCCCATGACACCCTGGGATTTGTAGTTTAACACAACTTAAGCCTCCTCTGCCAGAGAGTGGTGATGTCCATGCATCTAGCCCTTCCTTTGGTTATCTGAGGAATGTTTGCTATTAATAAACTGTTGCTTCCCAAAATTCAGTCTGTCCCTCTCCTGCTTCATTTCTTGACCCTAGGTCAAATGCTCCTACAATGTTTGGTTCTGCACCATTTTCTACCTTGCATTCCAGTCACCTATGGTTGTTAACATGCCATGCTTTGGGGGTGTGATCAATTTCTTCTTGGATGCCCATGCAGAATCCTTTCTTTTCCCCACAAAACTATCAATCCCAGAAATCTGTAGCAGGAAGCCATGGTAGTTAAATTGTTTCCAAACTGCATTATTTCTACAATGTGGATGCACCCCAAGCCTTCTTCCAACGTACGGCGACCCTAAGGCGAACCTATCACAGGGTTTTCTGGGCACGTTTCTTCAGAGGGAGGTTGCCATTGCCATCCTCTGAGGCTGAGAGTGTGTGACTTTGCCCAAGGTCATCGAGTGGGTTTCCATGGCTGAGCTGGAATTCAAACCTTGGTCTCCAGAGTCATTCAGTGTCCCTTTTCATTGACAGGGGAAACCGGTCAATAACAGAGTGACCAGATATCCTCCTTTTCCAGGGCATGTCCTACATTTCAGCCATTTGAGTTCCTAAATATCCTCCATTTTGAGCACGGCTGTGAAGCATGAATGTACATTTCTAGGAGTGTTTTAAAACTCTTTTATTTTTGTCATGTCCTCCATTTGTCCTCGAATGTCCTACATTTGGCAGCTCCTTGTCTTTCTTTGGATTATCTGCTCAACCTGGTTAATAAGTTCCCTTATGGAATCCTGGGATTTGCAGTTTTAGAAGTTATCTGAACCCTCCCACAGAAACTACAAATCCCAGAGACTTGTGTAGGATGAAGCCATGGCAATTAAAGTGGTTCCAAACTGCATTATTTCTGCAGTGTGGATGAATGAAACCACCCCCAGTGTCCAAACTCTGCATTATGGTGATGTTAACATGTCATTTATCTCCCAAAAATTTTTATTATTAAAAATATAACAATAAAATAATCTTTAAAATATCATTTATGATACATTTACACTCATTTATACAACCCAAACAGGGCATACCAACCCAACTGCCTCTTTAGAGCAGTACTGCGCATGCGCGCTCTTCCCCCCCCCCCGCCATTTTAATTATGTAGACAACCTTAGACTCCTCCTGCTCTCGCCTGAGAGAGGCGGGCTGGCAACCAGGGTCCTGGCAGCTCTATAAACAAACCTTGGTCAACCCACAACACTATCAATAAACCAGGCAAATTAATCCCCTTAATGTAATGGATACCAGTAGCGACTACACTCCTCTTCTTATTCCTTTTTTTTTTGAGGGGGTTTAGGAGATGAGGTCAATATTTAAACCTTTTTTTTAGTACTCTTTCAAGACCTGCCTAAAAGGGTTAAAAAAAAAAGAGGCGGGCGGCTTCGGGCATTTACGGCCGCCGGCCTATTTGCTGGAGCCGTAAACAACTTAATAGAGGGGAAGGGGCATTCCTGGGAACCCAAGGGCGCGCGCCTGCTGGCTTGTCCTCTTGCAAGCTGCCAAGGAGTTTGCAGCCTCTGCTAAGAAGCAAAGCAAAGCAAAGCAAAGCAAGGGGGCTTCCAAGCGCTGGGGGCTTTGGGGCTGCTCCTGCCTTCTAGGTAGCCTCTTGGGGTCCCTCATTCATCGCCCACCCAGTTCTTCCATGCTGGAGAATGGGAGCTGGAGGAGACTCTGAGCAGGTATGCACTTTCCCCCATTTTATTTTCCCTGCCTTGCATTGCTTGTGGTGCTTTTGCCCCATGGGGAAAGGAAAGGGTGTCTGGCTGCACCTTGCCCACGGAGGGGATTGTTTTGGGGAAACATGAGGTGTTTTCTGCAGCAGAGGCCAGGAGGACTTGGAAGGTTACTGGACTTTCATTGAGTAATTTTGCTGTTGTACTGAGCTTTATTTGTTTATTTAGCATTTAGAATACCAACAATCTAAGATATGCAGATGACACCA